AAATACTTTCTGCAGCATCAAGATCAAGTAAAAAATAAAACTGCTTTTTTGTTCACTGACAGTAGCCCTGGGAAAGAAGAAACCAGTTGTGTCACTGAGTTCCATACGATTAATAGTGAAACATTTTCACTAAGCAAATACTTAAAATAGAGCACAGCTCTGATCAGTATTGACCAAGTACCATATTCACACCACATTAAAACTGAGAAAAAAATTCTGAAAAGTGAGGCTAAATATCCTCCAACCCAACTGTGGTCTCAATTGCCACCCTATGCAAGAATGCAGAAGTGCAATGGCTGGATCACTAAATACTGCAGAAGTCAGCATATTTTTGGGAAGAAAAAAAAAACCTGCCACCTTCTGTTTATGGTAAGTACAGCAGAGAACAGAAGCACGGGAGAAACTAATACCGAGTCACCAGTGTTGTTTGCTCTTTAAAAGTAATGTGAATAGAACAATTTCTAGAAGAAAAGCACTGGTCACTGAAGTAATTACTTTAAAATCAGTGCTGAAAAGGGAACATAATGATAAATACAATTATTCTATCTGGTTAGGGTGAATTGAATTATCGAAGTAGGATAAATCACCACACATTAGTTGTAACATATTTAAGAGGAATGAAAGTATGTAACAGAAAGTCATTAAATCACAACATTCTGACATGCACATAGACATATATACAATTGCAACTTTTCTTTGGTTCTTTTTGAGATCCATAAAGAGTGTCAAGCATGTTATGCTTTCTAGCCACTTGCCAGAATTTACAGTCCTCTTATATTTAGCATTGAAAGCTCATCCCAACAGAGTGACTCCTCACTCTCACTTTTACAGGCTCTGTTTGTCCTATCCATAACTACAGCACAGACAACTCCATTAATGTGTACAACCAGTGCAGTGACCTACACATTGGCAACCACGTAATAATTTCAGGAAGGATCTGAAAACATGCACTTATTAGAAAACAGAAACATCCTCTCAGATTTTAGCACCCATTTGATTTAACATAAATACAATATATACACTTTGCAGACTTGTGTTAACACAGCATTTGTTTCAGCTCATAGTGAACTACGTAGCCAGTGTTATCCAGCTCTCTCCATCAACCAAGCCCCGGTTTGCCGGTAAAGCACCTACATGCTGGGTACTCGTACAACCTTTGTTTAGGTATCAAACTTCAACTACAGTTTCATGTGAATTTTTGACAGCATGCTGCAGAAATCTGCTCAGCTGTTCAAATAAACCAAAGATTTCCACATTCTCAAGCACCACTGGAACACCTGGCTCTTGCCATAATCCTGTGCTCTGAACTGCATTAAGTCACTTGCTGGAAGGAAACAATACAAAAAGTCTACGTAGGCTGTACCTCACTAAGGAGGCAGGAGGATGAGTATTTGGATCATGTGACAAAATATGAGGAGAAAAAAAAAAGGTACAAGTACTGTTATGAGGGCCTTGGCTCCCAGTTCATTTTAACTTCCACCAATCCACAGTAATTGCTGCCATACAAGTCTACACTGTATTTAGACACCATCACCTATAATATCCAAAGATTCAATTTGCATTTTAGACAGCCAATGATGACAAGAGACAAAGCCAGATTCTTCTAAGTGATAAAAAATACCTGATGAGGGGACTGGAGAAGCTGTACTTTCCTCAGTGGTTCTAAGTGACAGGACAAGAGGCAGTGGGCACAAATTGAAATAAAGGATATTCTATGCAGAAGAAGAAAAAGAACCCCCACTTCTGTTTATCATAAGGGTGCTCAAACACCAGAACAGGTTGCCAAGAGAGGTTGTGGAATCGCAGTCCTGGAAAATGCGTGAAACCCAGTTAGACACAGTCCTGGGAAACTTGCTCCAGTTCACTCTTCTTTGAGCATGGGGTTTGGACCAGATGATCTTCAGAGGTCCTTTCTACACCCAAACATTCTATGATTCTATTAGATTAGACCTTGCAAGTCACACTGCTAACAGGACCTAACAACTACTTTTTCTCTATTTTGATGGCCCCAAACAGTTCTGACAAAAACAAGATACCCAGATAGAACTCACAATAGAAAAATTGCTACTTCTGAAATTTCTGATTAATACTGCAAATTCTTTTGCTGCTTTGGAGTAGCACTTAAGTTATATCAAATGTAAGTGTATTTAACTGCACTTACTGCAATGTCCAAAATGAACATGAAAAGCTTTCTTCTTAGACTGCATATATTTACTATACATTACTCTGATGTGAACAGCAGACATTTTATCTCTGAATACACAATTTTTAATTTCACAGCTCTGAACTGGTGAGATACTGTTCTTCCTTTTTCAAAGAATGGTTTAGTGTCAGCACTATCACTTGAGGAAAAGATTCAAAATTTTATATAGGAAGAGTATTTCTGAACAACATCCAAATGAATTATATTTTGTACATTTTTATGCAAAGTACTTTAGGGATCATGGCATGATATATTCCTGTCATTTTGTTTTCAGAACAGAACTGATAATCTCACGAGCTCTCATGCTGTTAAGGGAAATTAAACCACTGTTTAAATAAACCGTTAGTAAATGAAATCCCTGAATTCTTCTGGCATTCTTTTGGGGATTCAGAACTCTAATTAAAATTAGACAAGCTCAGCTGGATTGCTGTGAATCAGACTGGGTCTGTATCCTCTCTTGGCATATGGCATGTACTTATAGTTTACTTTAATAGGAAGTTGTGATGATGGAAAATGAAGAAGAGAAAATGTATCTTTGATTGAGACCACCAGTATCACCAACAGCTAATTACTGAGACAAACAAGGTCACATTTCAGGAACATAAAAGGCCATATTTGGATTCCCATTATTGCAAGTAATATACTTGCAGACATTTATGAGGACTTTCAAGTTCGAAAGAATAAAACATCTGAAAGTGCCTTCATTCAACAAATTCATGGCTACCAGACTGGCTTCAATTCCCCACTGGAAAGACATAATTGTAATACTTAAGACCAGGAAAGGATGGTTAATTCTATTGTCATGTTTCTGAAGAGAAAAATGTAGTTGAAACTATGAAAGAAGAATGTTATTTTAATGCTTAGTGTTACAATTGTTAAGTCCTTCTCTCTGCAAAAACTTTTTCTTGATACCTGATGGGCGTAAACAAAGCTTGCAAGGCATGCATAAAACTCATAATTTTCCTACATTAATTTTTCTAACTACACAGTTGCATAAGGAATCCATCTGCTTACAGATGATATATTAATATTAATACATCACTTACCAGCACACCATAGATTTCTTAAAAACAAGTAATAAAAGCAATGACAAAATTGCTTTGAAAATACCTGATATTTGAAAAAAATTTATTAATAGGGATAATCTTCTCCATGTTCTTTAAAATCAAGTTCCTAATTTATCCTGTCTGAAAGGCACCATAGGGACATAGTGAGTGGTGAACAGTAAACATCCCATTGGCATTTTTCATACCTGGGGAATTCATCTGTCTCTGAGAGAATCCAAATGAAATGTGAACAACAAGATATACAAATAGGAGATAATCTGTAGCTGCATAGGCATGAAACCTCTAATTTCCATGCTATCGTGGCATCTTAGGCACATTCCTGTCAGAAGTTTCTTCAATAAAATTAGCTTTTTTATGGGAAGGTTCAGCAAGATCTTCTCCATGGTCTTTGTTATTCAAGCGCTCCTGGTCTTCCCTCTTGCGTTTGTTAATCAGGTGATTTTCTCCCTCACACAGCTTTCCCTCTGGGACACCCAGTGTTCTCAGACAGACAATAGCTGCAGCCTGTTCTGCTAGTTTCTTGGACTTGTCCCTGAAGAGCAAGCAGACAGAGCACAGGTAAAAGAAGAAACTGAAGTCTCTACACTGCCAAGAGAATTTCCTGTCTCTGATGCAACATCATAAACAAAGAGCATTTGTAGTCATCTCATAGCAGAAGAACAAAATAGGTCAGTTCCAGAAATTATTTGAATCTTGCTAGGTATCAAGTGTTGATGCATCACTCCTGATGTAATATTCCTTGAAAATTTGTTTCTATCAGGTCTTGTGCCTCAAACACTCTTCATTTCAAAGGTACAAAGTCAATGTGTGTTTGGCCCAAGTGGTCAGAAATCCTCAGAAAGTTAACTTTTACAAATCTGATCGCTAAACAAAACTAACTGAGTTATGAAGGATCACTTTTCCTGAAAGAGACTCAGGCTTAAATATACTCTGGCAGGCAAACAAGTTCATTGACGCTGACAAAAGTAGGAACTGTCCCATAATAATAAAAATTCTATCATTTTTGGGAGGTACTGCAGATCACCCATTTGTGAGATTCAGTATTTGAAAACATTTTCTTCTCAAAGTTTCATATCAGCTGAGCTTAATTTCCTAAAGTCTCTGAGCAGAAAGGTTGCAAGGCAGCAATTGCTGTGTGCATTTGTCCTCTTTAAAATGTTCAATGTGCAGTCAACTCCAGTATTAATGGATGATTGTACAAGATAGCGTTGTGAAACATTAGAGCAGCCCTGGATGTAACTGCTAATGAACTGTGATCCCCAAGAAGCCACTGCACTGTCCTCTCCTTCACTATGTGTAGACACTTAATCCTGATTTCTTTTTGGGAATGGATCTGCTGTGGTGGCTGAAGACACTTCCCCCTAAACATTCCCCTCTGCCTCCTTTGGTTAGTTTCTGAACTCAACACATACAGAACTGAACTGTGTCACCTATTTGCACCCCTTCCAATAGAACTTGTGGACTAACACACAAAGTGAATTAAAATTGGTAACCATTTACTTGATTATGCTAATGCTTACTTCCTCTCGTCACAGTCAATTCTCAGAAATTTTTAAACCTTTCTCCCTCCTAGAGGTAGCTTTAGAACATAGTTTTTAGTTGACCTATATCAAAGTCAACTGGAATAGAGCGGAGTGCCCTTTTATTGCAAGTTTTTTAATATTGCAAGTATTTTAAGCAACATTTCAGAAACAAAAATCCAGCTGGAAAAACCATTAAGGACAGCTTACCATAGAGTTGATCGGTATTTTCGCTCAGCTACTGTCACTACTGAACAGAATAATCTATCCAATGGTCTTTGAACCTGTGGGAAAAAAAAATTAAAAGGGAGGGGGGTATCAAAAAGCAGTCATGTCATTTACAGAAGAAACAACATCATCAAGATTCTTTGATAAGTGTAGAGACAAGAACAACAAGTAACAGCTTTAAAATTACTGTAATTCACACCACAAATTTAATCTTGCATATTTAACAGTAAAATATAAGAAGAAATTGTCCAAAATGCAAATATTTTGCTTTGCAAAAATAAAAAATAATCAAATAATGCCTCCATCTAACAAAAAAGTTGCTCCTGTCCCATACAGTTCCTACCCATAACATGTGCAACAACAGAGAAAACATTCCAAGTCTAAATTCTTTACTTCACAGAAGTAGTAAAAGAAAGTCAGTCATCGGCTTCTATATAATGACCTGTAGTCACAGCAACTTCTTTCACACGTGAATCAAAACCAGATGGAAGGTCTGACTTTTTTTATTTTCTAATAAAATAAGCTACTATTTTCATACCTATGAGTGTTAACTTTTCTGAAGCTGCTTCCTCAAAGAGCTATGCCAGACTGGGAAGCAGAATTTCCTCACTACCTTGAGTCCTAAAATACCTAATTTCATAGACAAGGCAGAGGGAATTTTGAGTTTCTTCATTGACTCACAGTTTCATAAACAGGCTGAGGATGCTTTTCTTTCCTACACCATTCCAGAAGATACATTTTTGGAGTAATCTGTGGTGGATATTCTCGCCTAGACACAAAAATTCGTGGTCAACAACTGTGCACAAAGTTCTATTTTAAAACAGACAGTGCTGCTTATTATATTACTTCTACCAGTTATTTGAGGTTTAACTTTACAGCTCAAATTATGAGAAAAATGCTGCTTCCTCATTAGATAACTCAAGTAACAGTAAGCCTGGAACTAAAGAACATCTTACAACAGCCAAATTGCACAGGAAGAGTGATGATTATGTAATGATGTACACGTATTGCCTCATAAAAACTCACTCGGTAAGTGCTGGTTTGCAAATTACTATTTTCAAAAACTGTCAGGCACTGTCAAACTCACAGTTGCTACTCACAGATGCAAGATAGCGAAAAACTTAATTTGTGTGCTTACTTGTCAAATCTAACAGCCATTTTTATTACATCTGGATCATCTACTTGGTCATCTTCATCTTGCGTCTCAGTTTCTAAAGACATTTTCTTTGCTTCAAAAATAGCTCTTGTTTCTTCATAGAAGTCACCCATTTCAAAGACTTCACTATTCAAACAGAATTCCTTCGTATTAGAGATCAGTTTATGAATTTTTGTATATCACATTATGGTAGAGAAAAATAAATACAGAAATCAATTGTGATTAAAGAGAGTATATGTGTATGGAGAATCAAATGAAAGCGTGGCTATATTCTACAAAGTGACATTATATAGTTTCTCTTTCAATTCTTATCAGACACTGTTGTGATACCAGCACTACATATGCAATTTGCAGCCTGAAAGTCCAGGCAGAATCAATCGGAAATACAGGTCTTGCAACGTCCAAGTTATTAGCTCAATCAGTAACTTGCAGGTGGATGAACTGGCAAAAAACATCTCCGTGTGACTCCTGGTGGATCAGCTCCACAAGGGCAATATGAGCAAGAAGTAGGAAAGAGATGCTTTTTCTAATTATAGTATTTAAAAATACCATAAGCAATAAACACTATAACATCCAAACCCCTCAAAATCTCACATTTCTGGCATCAGAATATTATTCACAAGTGTAAATATAAGGGAAGAAGCCATCAGGATTTGAGTCAAAGGTAGGATTCTCAAGTCCTTTTAAATTTCAGATCCAGGGCAAGCTGGATCTACTTTGTAAAACTGAGACTATTAATTTTCTGCAGATAATAACAGCAATAAAACCTGCAGCACAAGAAAACTTTTACTTTCTGACTGTTATGAGAATCCTCTTTGGTATGGGGCTGTTCAATGGTAAAATGAATGCTGGCCACAAAGCCATCTCCAACGCTCCAAGAGGAAAAGCAAAGAAGCTGAACAATGTCAACTTACACTTCTAAGAGAAGGCAATTTATTATGTACTGGTATGTAAATGTTTAGTCCAAAATGCAGCCCCTGTTCTCTTGCATTCAGTACTGAGGTTAAACCTCGCATGGCTGTAACGTGCCCTCACCACCAGGAGAGAGTACCATTTTTGTCTGAAGATGCACAGGTGCATTTTAAGTAACAGAATGTTCTTCAGTTACCTGGTCATGAAACAGGCTATTCAGAACAGGGCTTAAAGGACCGAGTCTGCTGACAGAAAGCAGTTTCAAAAATTTTCAAGTGTCTATGCCCCTCTCGTGCACACTGCTTAAGCCAAGTTTGAAGTTGGTATTGTCTTACATGTACAAAAACTGACAAAGTTCAATTCTGGCAGCTCCTAAAGAATTGTCAGGCACAGCACATAAACCCAAAAGTTTTACACTAGATCTCTACCCAGTGTTTATGTGTATAAACTGTGACACCTCTAATTACCTGTTTAAAGGCTTGACTCTCACTCTACAATTTCTTTTCTTTACATACTATGAACTACTGTTCATGCACTACCCTGTTGGCTAGGAATTATGTGAAGTTGTAAAAGATTGTTTCAGTTTCAATCTATATTATATGTCTTTTTTTCAAATTGGAAATCTACAATCAAAATAGTGTGTTACCATACTAAAAAGTTTTCAACTCTTTACATTGCCAAAGTGAAAAGTAACTTGCAAAGTTTAAAAGTTGTTCCTGGATTCCACTGCTCCTTTATGACTAATGAAGGATAGCTCCTTTTATATATGAAATACAAATTCCCTTCATTGTATTGAAATGTAATAATCACGGACAGAAGTATTTATAGAAAGCCAAAACTGGTAAAAGGCAATAAACTGGCAAAAAGATTGCAGTCATTTCCACTAATTTTGAACATGAAAAGAATGCTGACTAGGGTTTGCGAGAAAACAATAAATTCGTTTACAAAATATTTCAAGCTTTCAACATTTCTATCCATTTTCATACACGTAAGATATCAAACAGTTTCAGACTGTTTACAAGAACAAGGAGTCTCTTCCCCTCCATTCCATCAGAAGTATAATTATATCACACTACATGGATATCACACATGCAAGCTCACACCTTTATTTTGGGATGGTTCGGTTTGGGATGGTTCCAAACCTGAATTCCCCTAATTCTGTGTGAATTCTTTAATTCCATGCTTATTTTATGGTTTCTCACAAAGCTTTCCTTCTTCCTTTTCTGTCCTCCCCTTTGAGAAATTTCATCCAGACTGTTTCAGATGTCCAGGATGACAAGATTCATTAAAGCTACTATATTTCCTCAAAAAAGCTGTCATTATTCATTAATATATTCCAGGTATGAAAAGCAGCACAAAAGAAATACCTTGAAGTACCACACAGACAACCCTCATACATTATTTTGAGTTTATCTCTAAGTGTTCATTTAAAATAGACATGTGGCTGTAAATATTCCAGTAACATTAAAAACCCCACATGCAAGAGGCAAAATTAAAACCAATAAATATCCTTGGAAGGAGACAAGCTCCACACTATTAACCTCCAGACTGACACTAGAGAATGCTGAAACTTTTCTTGATCAGTTAATGTAAATATTGAATAAATGCCTGTCACTCAATGAAGCACCAATCAAATTAGTATTTTAGTTGAAATTAGTTGAATATTTCAGGGTTAAAGATTTAAAATCTGAGCATGAAGGAAACCTGGCAAATTTACTGTGTTATTTCACATCTTACTAACTGGATTTTTTTTGTTTGTACATTTTTGGGGGGTTTGCAACTTCTGAAGGTATGAAATGCCAGGCAGTGCTACAGACAGAGAAGTGATGTGCAGGTTTAACAGAGAGTATAATTCCTGTGTTTGAAGCACAAGCTTACCAGATCTCCTGTGTGGACTGTGCAGCATGTAGCTTCTTACCCTGAGCAGTTTCCAACTGTTCTCTTAACATCTGACACAAACAGTATTTTGTGTTGGTATAGTGATTATCGTATCTCACTGCCTGAAGGAGAGACACAGAGCATTTAAAAACACACCTAACAAATTTATCTTATATTTTGCTTATGTCTCTTGATAACTTTCAAAATCATTTTTGAAAGGCAAATCATAACGCAGTTTCCTCGATAACATATTCAACACCACTATGAATGTGACTATAATCTGATTATTTTGGCATGACTTCATGAACCAAAATTCAACTTATTCATATACTCATGAAGAAAGAGCTGACCAGTTTACGTCACCAACTAGCAATGCACTGTTATTTTAGTAAGTAACTGGTAAATGGCAAGTTCGAATTTTTAAAAACCAAATCATTTTGAATTAATGACATGATCGAAGCTACAGATTTCTGATTAATTTCCTATTACATCCTTAAAATAGTGTCTTTTGAATAACAGATAAAACTTTATATACCAGGTGACTCAGCTAAGAGAGCTACAGTACTACAATACAGCATTACTTTATTGGCAAATCATTCCCTTTGCTTCCTTGCTGTGAATAATTATTGACAATATTTGTGAAAAGTAATTAATTTCTAAAAATGAATCTAGCAGAAACTATTTCATATTCCTTCACTTTTCTGTTCAATACTGTATGCTGTATATAATAATCTGTTCAATTTGTACATTTGTAACTTCAAAAGAGCTGGTCTACATATTTTTAAATTTCTAGACATTTTTAGATACCCTTGTAAATGTCATAAATGTTCCCAAAAAACTAGGGCTAAAAAGCATGGTACGGAAGAAAAGAATGATCAAGAAAAACTGAATACCGATTTCTGAACTTTTGTTTTCTGAACAAAGTCAAACAGAAGAAGCAGTGGTTGATCTGAAAGACTCATGTCATATGCATTAAGTTAAAACATCCCCAAACTAAGTCTTTGAAACGACAAGGAGTTAAGACACTCTAGGAAGATTTGGATTAACAATTCTAAACAATTTTAACAACAAGTGAGATCTTAAAAAAACTCGTACATATTTAAGGTAATCTTGCATGACATCCTTCAAGGGGAAAAACCCCTCTTTTCTGAAGATAGATGGGTTCCACATGGCAGCACGAGCTATCATTACTGATGAGGCAGCTGTTGCTTTCTGGAAGGTCTCTATGTCCATATATTCTTTGATGAAGTCATGAGATCCTCCACTAAAAATTAACAACACCTTTAATTAATCACGGACCTTTCTCCTGCACTTGCAAATCTTAAGTTAGGTACCGGCATCTGGACATAATGAGCTACTTTGTCCAACTTACTTTGCTATTACTGGAATGGAGACGGCTTCACATATGGCCTTGATCACATCACAGTGGACAGGGTGCTGAGGCCTCTCCTCCTTATTTCTGTCCAACAAACAAAAGAAAGACAAGACCAAAGATTTCCTGTGGAATTTGTAGATCTCTAAATCACAGCAGACATGGCACAAGGAGTATTGGGATATATTTGTTTCCACTTATTTATTTCATATATTCGATATAATTTCCTGCTGTTTCTTTAAATGCAAAATTATTTCCTATCAAACACATTTTAAGACATTGTTACTGTAATTCCATATCCAGATAAGCAGCATTTTTTAGATACAGAGTATGCAGATAATTTTAGGTTTATTTGGTCTTTGAGAAAAAAATTTTCAGAAAACAGCAGCAAGCAGTACAATTCCCTAATTGGTGGCCTGATTTTCTACAACACCAATTCAGTTAACGGTTGAAATCAGAACCATGTACTATATCTAGCATGTAGAGAATACTCTAGTCATATCATATTGTGCTCTGTTCATCAACAAACTAAAAAATCTAAGTATTTCTTGCCTAAAATCAATTTACCTTCCATGGACTGCAATGGCAGCAATACCAGTTTTTTCTATTCTCTTCACCAGATTCACAGTATCTTCAACCTGAGGGATAAGACAGAATGACAAGATTTTAATTCAAAGCAAAAGGAATAACCATCATGCAATTATTGTACAGACAAATGCTGGAAGTCTTTTCTTTCCTCAAGAGGGATGTGATTCCTGTATTTCATCAATAACACCCAACACGCATAACCATTTAATATATACTTCGATTCAAGAACTACGTACTACGCCAAAAATAAGAATCCATTATCAATGCCTCCTTGAAACCACAGATTGCAAACTTTCTCAAATCAGGTAACATAATACTCTGTGTTGTGGCAGAAGAATATTTTCCAGCAAGTTTATGGACTGTCATTTGAAAATGATATAGAACATTTGATTAGCAAGTCCTCTCTAATGACTACCCTGTAAATTGTAATTAAAATGCTTTTCAGTAAGAGGATACCTTCTGAAATCAACATAACATGCAATCACACATCTATAAACATCCCTCTCAGATATATATGTCTTAAAAATGTTAACCAGTATCTAAAAAATTCTAATGATATTCATACATGACCAATGAATCAAAAGACCCAGTGGGAAAAAGGGGAAGCTCCCAGTCTATCTTCAAAGAAGTAAGATGCTCTTAAAAGGCAGAAAGAAATGTGGCACACTGCTGCATTAGCCTGTCTTATGCAGCTTTGGGGAAAGGGAGAATGAAAAAAAGATAAATTTTCTTTTCAAAATCTGGAGAAATATCTGTAGGTCATCCCAAAAATAGCAGATTCAGTTTTTGAAAAATGTAACATCTCCAAGCTGGCATGGACACAGAGAGAAAAGCTCACCTGCTGTTCTGATGGATGACATGTTACGCAGAAACAGCTTGAAACAAAAAGAAGAGGCTCTAGGATAGTTGTAGAAAATAAAAAGGAGAGGTGCCGGTTCTCTGATTTAATACTTCAGTACTTCAGAACCAAAATCATCTTAGACTGGGTTTTTTATTCTTTTCCCACAGGCTTCAGTTGTTCATCTAACCTTTTTAAGTGCACGTGTAAATGATTTCTGAACAATAGCTGGTTCAGGTACAGTTCATTCATCTACCAAAGTATCTATTCAGGTCATATGCAATCGCAGTATCTAAGCAGGTAATAAAATAAACAATGGCAAAATAATCAGTCATTATTAAAGAGAAGGCCCATCATCCCTTGGAGGTTTAAAAATATGTAGGGAATTCAACTGCAAAAAAAAAAAATCCAGTAAGGAAGCTACATGAGCTGTAAAAGAACTCTGGAAGACGGGGAAAACATCCTGTACAAGAAAGAATCTGTAACTCCATTGGTTGTTCTTACTGCAAGAACAGAAAAACAGTTTGGAAAAAAAAAAATTAGTCTGAAAAAACAGAAAATAATCATCTATTGGCTTCCCTGGCTGAAAAATAGGAATTAACAACAGCTACTGGCTGCTCGAGAGGTGGTGTCCTACACTCTCTTGTATCTCTATGACTTAAAAATCACTTAGTTGAAAAATTTTGAGGATAAAAGCCTCTGTGTCCTTGCATATCATGGAATCTGACAAGCCCACAATCACAGTCTCCATACATTTTGCGGGTCAGATAACCCTTTAGGCTGGGACAGCATTCCAAACAGAAATTATAACCCCAAGCACTATTTCACAACAACAGGCCTAAAATGACAACATATGAGAACGCATATATTATAACTGATATTAAATCACCAAAATAAACAACAACTTAACACTTCGGCGTAATGATTTAGGTTCGTACTGAGGGCAAAATGCGGATTTTGCAGGTTACCGGTTTACAAACTCCTTTAACAAGGGCAGTCAATATCTGGAAAAAGGAAGAAAAAGACAAAAATGTGATCACAACAGTGACATTACTAAAGCTCTCCTCCTTTCTCTCTTGAAGATAAAAGAAATTAGAACAATGTAACACTACTTACTATTCTTCTATAAAAAAATCTCACGTTCTAGACAGACACATTCAATCTGTAATTGAACATATCATTTTATCCAACAGATATAAAAACCTATTTCTAGTCTAAGCCATTTCTATTTCCATTTTTTTTAATTTCAACTTTTTTCAATTTACAGAGCAATTAATTGCTGCTGGAGTTTCAACACTGCTTTTAGTATGAGGTGACCTGTGAACTAATAATTTCAAAATAAAGTGCAAAGGTTTTTCATTTTCATGCAACTGTTTTCACCATCATCTTATATTCCAGTTGTCAGTTTCTCATAAAAACTAAATGTAAGTATTCCCTAAAAAGAGATTTTTATTTAAAAATAAGAAAGCCTTCAAAATGGAAAAAAAATTTGGGGAATTTCAAGCTACACCACTGAATCTTCTTAAGGAAAGCAAACTGAATTCCATGCTTAACACAAAGCACATTTTATTCATTACAACAAACTTGGAACAATCAGGCAAATGAGTGGTTGTTAGTCTAATCATTTAAAAACCAAGCTATGCAAAGAATCTCCTTTTCATAGCTTGAATTTAAGTCCAACAGACCTTACTTAAAAGTGCCAGGTAATGGCCTATACACGTTTAAATCACTGTATGACTATATAGTAACCAAGAGGTCTCTAAATAAAGGAGTGGAAGCCAGCTGATCTTGACTGTTATTGGGAAAAAACCCTTCTTTTTCAACCGTTTTTCTCAGATATTATCATGCATGTTATTCTTACGTAAAATGGATGGAACTGCAAAGAAATGCTTTCAGGATGGTTTATCCTATGAACTTGAATTTTGTTTAATGTTACTGCTCTTATTAGGTTCCCAATACAGATATGAGCTGTTATATCTGTACTCAAGTTCTTGTACTTAAAACAGCTGGCAATTTCTGTCACCTTGCACTGTCTACTCAAACCTTTCCTCAGTAGTGTTTTCTCAAAATAAACAGCAGCATCCAAGAAAATTATCTAAAAAACTCCTCTCTTTAGTATTTTCAAGTTGTATTTTTTGGATATAAATCAAACTAAAATGACATCATTTTCAAACATCGTCACTACATTTTTGTACAATAGCACCATAAGCAAATCTTAGAAGTTTTCAGTGTCAGCCTCATTAAAGATTCCAATGTGAGAACCAAATCATTTTTAATCACATGGTAAGCTTGATCTGGAGCTGTAGTTTCAGTTGCCTTTTGCAGGCTATGAGTTCAGTTATCCCTCTGCAGTTTGCTAAGAGTAATTTTAATGCCTAAGATTTTGCTGCCTATTAACATCTTCAATTGAAAAGAACAATTCCAAATTTTTGAGCATCGAGTTTCCCACTCTTCTGAAGATCAGAACAAAATGTAATGGTTGTAGAGGGAAAGGGAAGCTGTTAGCAATCATATTTACAACTGCCTCTCATTCCCATGAAAAATATTTTTGCAATATTTAGTTCTAGCTTGCTCAATATTTTCCTCTCAATTCCCACTCTGAAATTTTTTTTCTTTCAGTTTTCATCACCTTATGCTTCACAAATTACCTTTTCATTCTGGATGGTATCACCCATGTTACTTAATTCATGGAAAACCATATAGGCCTCAAAAAAATTGGCTCAAAAAAATTTGTCTTCTATGCAACTCAATCTTGCTTCCAGTAGAGGACAGTGCACAATACTTCCCAAGCAGTTCAAAGGCCACAAGGTGATACTTACAGACTCTATTTTGTCAGGATCAGACAGCAGTGCTGCTCCCATACCTCCCTGGGAAAATATACAGAAACTGTTACACACTAGGCAAACACATTTTTCAACTCAATTAAATTGCCTAATAGCAGACCAGCACAAAAGTGTAATGTTATATTAAGGGGGGGGGAGAAATAAAAGACAGAAAAAGTGGTAAAATCTACAATACAGGAGCATTTGTGAACACTTTGGTGCAACATTTGCTAGAATTGTATCGAAATAACTAAGCAGTAATTCGGGGCACCAATTTGCTCTCATTACTTTATGGAACAGACAAGATTTCAAAAAGCTATTTTTAGCAACTGTAATCATCCAGTTTCTTCTCATTAAGTGACACCTGAACAGATTTATTATTTTAACAGACCACGTATGCCATACCTCCAAGAAAGAAAGAGCTTATTTAAGAGTAATCAAAATCCACTTGCCTTAGTAGAGTATTCTTTTGGGCATCCCATGTTGATATCAATACCAGCCACATCACTCTCTCTGAAAAAGAAGAAGGAAACAAATATTTTTCAGCACATTAGAACAAGAATCAGGAAATAGATATCTTTCCAGGTAACTTGTTCCATCATCATTAAGGCTTAAATGAGAACTTAAGGTGGTTCTTATTTGAATTTCTAAATTTTTAGCTTCTCACTTGCATACATACAACTTGCATACATACATTTTAACAGTGATCTGAAGATCAGTCTTTCTACAGGTTTCAATTACCAATGCTGTGCAGAAGCTGCAAGTACTTATCTTAAATATGTTTATATATGATTAAGTACATATAGTATATATATTATATATAAGTATATACATCACTAATCCACCACTGTCGCTAAAGCAAGTCCTACTGAAACTTCCATTTAAAATTAAGGCTTTAAAACACCTTTTTGAGAGCCCCTTTTCATTTCTACACAATACATTATCAGAGGCTTTAAACCACAAACAGTAGGAGACATTTTTCAGGCATACTGATCTTACTTGTAGCTGTGCAATACCCAGGGAAATTTCATGCTAGGGAGATCAAGGGCACACACACTAGCAAAAAACCATCAATACCAGTACAGAATTTATGCAGCTGCTGCTTTGAGCAAGAATTATTTTAAGTAGAAGCTGCAGTTACATCGTTACACCACTGGCCTTCTCAGAAGCTACACTTCACTGTGCAGCTCCTACAGAACTTTTCCTGATTCTACGAAGACCAGCTTTTAACCTCTCAATCATAAAAACCTGTCTTCCACAGTAATTCCTCTGAACAAAAAATCCCAAATAAACCCGTGGTGGAAATGAGATGGACAACTTACACAAGCTTAGCTACTGCCAGGGCTCTCTCAGCATCTGCTGAACCCTGTTGGTAGAACAAGAGGATGTATAATTACAAAGTATCACAAATTAATTAAAAAAAGGAAATGCTCACTTGCACATGTGTACAACTATATTTACTCTAACATTTAGTGTAGACAGAGACCCACTCACAGCACACTGGACAGTTAAAATATTTAGCTAAAGCATGGACTAGACTCAGCTACCGAATGACAAAAGGTAATGCAAAAAAAGGATTCTAAGAGGTCTGTCCACCTCCTTTACTTACAGCAATATCAAATGTTCTTAGCCCATCAGCACTAAGATATCTATTTTCCATGTTCTTAAGAAGCTTCACTAATAATTCTACAGCCTCCAGCAACCCATTTCAGGGCTACCATTACCACTGAAAAATGTCTTTTCAGCATTTAATACAGTCCACACTTCTCCTTCCCTCCAATCCCATCATCATCTGTCCTACACAAAGTGGTCTCTAAGAGCAAATTAATATCCTTCTCTCTCCAGCAGCCTTTAATCCATTTGTGCAATGCTAGTGCACACATTAATCCTCTCTTATCTATACTAAACAATGCTATTTCTTTCAGCCTTTCCAGTGAGACTGTTTTAAAGGACAGTACAAGATTTAAACGTGATCAAACATAATTTATTTTTGGCATCTATGTTTGGAAAAAAATCAAAGATATCTATTACAAAAACAAGCTGCTGTCAAAGAGCACAGAATTCATCTTCATCACCTCTTCTGAAAACAGCTGTAAGGAGAGTTTACAATGTAGCATCTCCTTGGATATGTACCAACAGATCAGAAACTCTCTAACACATTTGGTGTGAAGGTTTACTCCATCTGAAGCATCAACAAATTGCCAGTCTGCAATACTGGGAGGTGCTTTAGACTTAGATCAACATGTTACTAGCACTGCCTTGTTTAACCATGTTGTTAGCAGAGTACCTGCAGTTGGTTTCTTACCATTTGAAAGACAACACGTTGCCTCTCCCTTTCACAAGTTCTGAAAACAACTCTTTCATTAGGTGCAACAAAGTCCACCGTTTCAAGTACTTCTGCATGAAATGAGAAATGATAAAACAGACGAAAATTATATACAAATGTAAACATAAAAAAAGTCATAGGACTATGTAATTTGTATATAAATTAAATGCTATCAAAGAAGTCTTCCATGAAGAGCAGAACTAATGGCACCCTACCTCCTATATGTCCTTGCAGTACATTTCTTGCACATTGCTGTTTCCCTCCCAAAGTGCTCCCTAATCACCCCTCAGCCTTGGACATCAGCACCAGAACAAGTCCACTGATGACTCACTCAGAATGAACCTAATAGTACTATTTTTGGGAAAGGGCAGGAGGAGAGAGTAGACTTGCAGTGAACTTCTATTCTCCAACAAGGACACTGCAAACAACTGCTTCTATGCCACTCAGGCAGGGAGGTCTCAGCATATCATTTTAAGAACTTGTGGTGACAATCATGTTAAACCAAGTCTACCCCATGGACTTCAAGCTAGTAAACAAATGATGAAAAGTGAGACCTTGTATGTGTTGCTTCCTTATTGCATTACACTTGGAGGTGTGTATATTATAATGTCACAAACAGCTAACATTTAAAAAACCTCATGATTGGAAACTGTCTCTACTGCCATCCAAACAAATTTGTTCCCTGGACATTATCAAACTTTAAAAAAAAATTAAAAGGCTTCGTATCTAATATTAATAGTTTTACTCAGGAAATTAGATTTTATTTTAGCACAAACACATGTAAAATTTCTTTAAAAAACCCGCAAACACCACAAAACAACAACAAAAACAACCTCTAGAGTTTTTTACTGTTTACTCTTCATTATAATAGCATATGAAGGCAGTAGAGAGGCTGGAGCCAGTATGTAGATACAGAACTGAGGAAGATTAGGAAGCTTATTTGTTCATTACAATTTTAGTCTTTGTCTTTCCACATAAAATGGAAAGCTTTAACATTTTAAACAATGCACTAGAACTTTAAAGTCCAGTCTATTCCAGCTACTAGTTTCTTTCACCTGCTGCCAGAAAGCACAATGCTGAAACATTAGCAATGGATTTCCAACACTGATTCCATTTTTCTTAAGAAAAAGAGAAATACACCATTCCAGGAGGTAAAATTACAGCTCTCCATTTTAGGAGGCAAATACTTGCACACCCAGTGACCTGACCCTGTCAAAAAGTTCAAACAGAAAACTCACTGAATCCTTGTAATAAACTAAGCCAATGGCAGAGAAGGACCCTGTGCTAGGACTCTAAAAAGAATAACAAACTGTTTGTTACTAATACATTAGCTATGTCCTCCAAAAATGTTTATGGTTTTCCAGAGGAACACTAAATGAACTACTGAAATTCCTTTAGAAGGGAAACCAAAAGTTGGAAACTGTAGAGCAGCAGACAGGTCTAGGGTAGCACTTCAAAAGCTTACTTTAAGTCCCTAGACACAGTTCAGAGAGATTGTATGTTCTGATACATCACTGTAACACTAGAAAAATACTTCAGAGAAGTAATTATCTTTTCTCTTGATTAGAAAAAAGACTGCTTACAGGTACTATCAAAAGAAATGCTATACTTGCCATTTATAACCCTCTTACACTGCAGCATCTTTATGTCAATCAGCTCCTGAGGAGGAAAGATAAAAAAACCTCAGTGAGTTGAAGTGTTTCAGCCAGCAAGCTCTAAAAAGTTGCCCATTTAATAATTAATTATCTAGAGAGACCAAATATAGAAAAAGAAAGCAAATTAAAACAAGAGTTTAATATACAACACGCTGAAGTTTCAAAATATTAACAGAACATAAGAACGTAAGAGTATTGAATCACAGAACAGTTTAGGCTGGAAGTACCTTAAGTTACAGAGCAGTCCTACCAACAGGATCTGCAGCAAACCGGAGTCTCAATTTTAGCCAGCTTTGAGAAAATTGGTTAAGCAAGAAGGACAGCGGCGCTGTGATGGGATATATATGGATGTACAAAACTAATCAGGTGAAACAGAAGGTCAGTCTAAAACTTCTATCAAAGTTCTGACTTTACTCCAAAAAAAACCAAAATAAAAATACTAAAAAAAAAAAAAAAAAAAAAAAAAAAAAAAAATCCCCAAAAAAACAAAACCCAAATAACAGTACAATGTGAGGAAACTCTTATGGTGTTTTGTCTAAATAAACTGAGAGTATTGAATAGGCTTAAAATGTAGATTTGCCATAACTTGAGAACTCTCAAAGAGAAATGCCTTAAACCACAGAGATTTTTCTTTCTCCAATTTTTTTATTCGACAAACGTGCAAAAAGAACAAGTCCTACAATAAACAGAGTTTAGTTTTCTTTCCTTAACAATAATGTTGAGCAGATAAGACTGCCTCATCTGCTCATCCTCCATACCTCACAGTACACGATATCAGCACCATAGTCCAGGGCAAGAAGGCGCATTGGCAACGTTCCCACTCGCACCATTGGAGCCAGGATCTTCTTTCCTCTAAAACACAGGGGTGGGTTCACCGTCATTCCTATTGCAGTACTACCTGAAAGAGAAAGCCAAGGAGGACAGCCATGGAACGTCGATTTCCTACCGGCAAAACTCCCAGATCTGTCTTTTGGCGGGAGGGGGCAGTGGGTGCCCCGTCATACCCGACAGGGCACCCTCGGCAGCCGGTCCGGCCGCTCACCCAGCCGTGAGGGAGCCCAGCGGAACCGGGAGATGCTCCCCGCCACACGAGCTCTTTGCCCCGAGCGAGGGGCGCCGGGCCGTCTCCGCCACAGCCCCCCGGGGCCGCGTTTGCTCCCGCAGGGGCAGCTCTCAGCCGGCAGCGGAAAAGGCGAACCGACCCCGCCGCCCGCCGCGCTCACCCTCCCGGCGTGGCTCCGCCGCGGCTCCGCGGGGCGGGGAGCGCCGAGGGAAGCGGCTCTTCCACGGCGTCATCGGGCAGCGCCGCGGCCCCACGTGAGGGAGCCGCGATGGCGCTGGGCCGGGCCGGGACGGCGGCCGCGCTTCCGCTGCTGCTGCCGCGGCGGCCCGCGGGCACCGGGGCGGCGGCGGCGGGCGCGGAGCCCCCCGGGGCCGTGGTGCGCGTCCCCTGGGCCCTGCGGGTGCGCCTGCAGCGAGGGGCGCAGCGCCGGCGGCGCGGGCACGGGGAGGCGGCGACGGCAGCGCGTCCCGGGAAGCTGCTGCTGCGGAGCCGGCGGCCGGAGCTGAGCCAGCCCCGCTGGCAGACAGTGGGGCGCTGGGAGCAGCCACCGCTGGTGTCAGCGGGCTGGAAGCACAGGAAGGCGTGCGGGGATTACTTCCAGCTGGAGCCCTCGCAGGAGGCGGCCCCCGCGCTGCAGGCGCCACCAGCCGAGGCGGGGCAGGGCCCGACCTTCGCCGAGCTGGGGCTGCAGCCGGCGCTGCTGGCCGGGCTGGAGCGGCTCTCCATCGGCCGCCCCACGGCCGTGCAGCGCCTCGCCATCCCCGCGCTGCGCCGCGGCCGCAGCGCCCTGTGCGCCGCCGAGACCGGCAGCGGGAAGACCCTCGCGTACCTGCTGCCGCTGCTGGACGGGCTGCTCGGCCGCCCCGAGGGGCCGGCGGCGCCGGCGGGGCCAGCGGCGCCCCGCGGGCTGGTGGTGGTACCGTCGCGGGAGCTGGCGGCGCAGGTGGGCGCGGTGGCGGCCGCGCTGTGCGCGCCCGCGGGGCTGGCGGTGCGCGGGCTCACGGGCGGAGGGGCCGCGGGAGGGCTGCGCAGGCAGCTGCGGGCGCCGCCGCCGGGCCCCGCCGTGCTGCTCGGCACACCGGGGGCGCTGCGGGAGGCGCTGCGCCGGCGCTTCCTGGCCCTGGCGAGGCTGCGCTGGATGGTGCTGGACGAGGCGGACACGCTGATGGACGACTCGTTCACGGAGCTGCTGGAGGAGATCCTGGCACACGCGCCGCTGGCCGCTGGAGCCCCCAGGCCGTCCGGACCGGCGGAGGAGAGGACCCAGGTGGTGGTGGTCGGAGCCACCTTCCCTGCGGGGCTCAGCGAGACGCTGGCGAAGTTCACAGACGTGAGCAGGTTTGTCACCCTCACCACCCAGTGCCTGCACCACCTGCCGCCTCACGTCCAGCAGAAGTTCATCCGCCTCAAAGGCCGGGACAAGCTGCCCGAGCTGCTGCAGCTGTTAAAGGAGCACCCATCATCTGGCAGGGCTGTTCTCGTCTTCTGCAACAGTGCCAGCACTGTCAACTGGCTGGGCTATATCCTGGATGACCACAGAATCAGGCACCTGAGGCTGCAGGGACAGATGTCAGCAGCTGCTAGAGCTGGCATCTTTGCCTCTTTCCAGAGGGGTGATGTGTCTGTCCTTGTCTGCACTGACCTTGCCTCGCGGGGTCTGGACACCAGCAGTGTGCAGCTCGTGGTCAACTATGACTTCCCAGACACCCTGCAGGACTACCTGCACCGTGTGGGGAGAGTTGGACGAGTTGGAAGCAAGGCACCTGGAGCTGTGGTTAGTTTTGTCACCCATCGGTGGGATGTGGACCTGGTACGGAAAATAGAGACTGCAGCCCGGAAAAGGACAGGCCTCCCGGGAATGGACTCCTCTATTAATAAACCTTCACCTAAAGGAGGCTGATTCAAGTTGCTGGGCAGTACTAGGTGGCCTGGTAGGGACTCACCTTGAAGTCCTTAAGACAGAGTGATTGAGCTGCTGTTTGTAAAGTAGACTGAGAGAACTGAGAATTGAGTTTCAGAGCCAGGTGTTCAGGTTAACTTTGTGTACTGTTCTGGAAGCTGCAGTAGTCATTTCCATGCTCATCACAACACACGGCTTTGCAAAAGGAAGCTAGTGAGTAACGGAATGCTTTTGGAGAAGACTGAAGAATGACCTCATCAACTGATTTGATTTTGTTGAGACTTACAACTTAAATTCAAATCAGAATGAAAGTATGCCTGTATGATATGCAGCTCTGTTACATTTCATTGCTGCCCACCACTAGCAGCTAAACGTTCATTATTAAAACTTAAAAATTACTACTGTGGCAGGGAAAAAAATGGATATAACTTTGACCTGTCATAGATACATGTAGAGAGACTAAAGGACAAGTGATGTTTGATTTTCTTGTGGTGTAGCAGTTCGTTCAGGGAATTCTAGACCAGATACCTTTAAAGTTCAGCGGGAATGAGAAAGCACAATAAAGCTTGAGGCTCTTTCAAGGCCTTAATTAGCCATTTTATGGTTACCTTTCACTGAGAAAGGGGATCTTGCTCCATCATGTTATATTAAATAAAATTTTAAAAGCCCTTAAGTGTTTCCTCCTCATTTTTCTGCATGCGACAAGTCTAGTGTCTGAACTGCCTGTAAAACAAACAAACAAACAAAAAACCTCTAACCCCAACACACAAAAATGTCTTCTCTTAAAGGAGTGCATTGATTCAAGTTCTAGTGACTCACAAGTAACAGAGTGAGTGCAAGATTCCTTTTGAATGTTGTGCCATTGCTCTATTTTGCTTTAAACCAAGAGGACTGAAGTGAGGCTGAAGTTATTTCATATCTACTTGCTAGTTTGTATCCATGGTAAATAATCACACAAAATAGCATTTTAGCTCTGATTTCTGTTGCAGTGATGTATCACAGCCCTTTCTTTTAGTGGCTGTTTTTCCCATACTATCAACTTTAGCCTGTGCTAAGACTCAAATTTAGAAATAGCAAGCCTGGTAAATAAAAGGATCATCAAGCATAGTATCTAAACAATTGGTTTCTGAGAAAATAACAGTCTGGAGATAAGTATACTAAGAGTAAAAGCTGAACAAAGAGAAAACTTGCACAGGTAATCACCTAAGGATCAGGCTGCAGGACCTTTTCCTATTGTACATGTGTGCTCTGCTCATTTTGCACAGTTAAGGGGCTCTCAGAGGAAGTTACAAATCAGTAAAATTATATAATACAATGACTTCCAATTTTTAGAAATACAGTGAAAGAGTTATCCCTTTGGAGACTGGAAACCTTTATATTTTGGACCTGTTCATTCCAAGCACTACTTGCCTCTCATCTGTAGTTCAATTAACTACAAATCAGGCAATTTATGTGTCCACAAACTGAAGCTTCCTGTTCATTTATAGGAGTAGGGTAAATCTCTGGGGACAATCTAGTATTATATTTTACAGAAGATCCTATCTCCATTTGTAATATGCATCTTACATTGCATTAGGTCCCCTGAACTGCTGAAAAACTGTATTCAAGAAACATGTTAAAAAATTATTTGTATGTGTTCTGATGGCCGTAAGAAAAGATACTGGAGATATTCTACTATTTGGATATTTCTGTTATGTTTTTAGATGCATAATTTGTCATTTAACTTCTGTCACACACTTTTTTTACAATCTACTAACAAGTCAGTCTAGATTGCAGCATACAGAATTACCAAATTAGACAACACAGTGAAATAATAAAGTTCTTTCAGCCATATGCTTCCTAATTTTGAAGTAATATGCACTTTATATATTTACAAACAGTAAGCTTGAACTTGGTACAAATGCCCTAAAGTGTTGCTAGGGCACTGTTGATCACAACAGTTTGTCGAAAAAAGAAAAAAAAACCAAACCAAAACAAACAAACAAACAAAAAATCTTTAGGCATATATATGCTAAAGTGGCCAGTAAAAATCCATGGGTAGATAGAATACACTATATTTACCAACAAAACCTTTTGTAAACATTACTTTCCAACAAAACCAGAGTTCTTTTAAGCATATATTGAGAAATGCCACTTTCCTACTGTTGCTCACCAAGAGACAGTTGCTGGAGCCAGTGATTAACACCAGTAATTATGCACAGGAGCACACAGACATTCAGACCCTGGGATGTATAAGCTGATACAGAGCCACTGAATGCAGAGAGCCACATCACTGACACGTCAGGTGGAAGGTTTTACTGCCTAATTGGTGAATACTGTAGAAAAGCCTTCAAGGAGCTTTAGAGACCCTATCACAGCTAGTGAGCTAAATGTGCATGTACCTTTTCCCAAACTGCTCTCTGAACGTCACATCACTCATCATTCATATCTTAATGACTGTCTACAGACATAATTAATTACTCTCTTCATGTCTGTACATCTTCTACCTTCTGTGTAACTCTTAGACTTTATGGGTGTTACAACTGCATATGAGTTCTATCTTGTAGGCATTCAGATACTCCTGTTGCACATGGCCCAGTGCCTAGGAAGATACCCTAGGGCAACCTCTGTCAAGTGTCATCACAGCCAGAGGGAAAAATGCCTCCTACCACTCCAGTAATCTGACAAAGTCCACATTTTTGAAGACTCCACAGCTCCCTGGAATGCACTTGTATACATGTTCTCCCTCTTCCCTCCTCTTCCTCCTGAAGCATTTTGTAAGCCCGATTTACACCTTAGTGGTGGAGTGTGTGGTAGAGAAGTTCTCCATGCATATTCTGGCCAGCTTCTCAGGGGGAACTGGCTGCAGGAAGAACCTGCAGGTGAAGACTTGCCAGCAGGCCTTGCGGAAATTTTCTGAGAGGAAAGCATAACTGATGGGGTTGATGCATTGATGATGTTGCATTACTGAGGTTGGTAAGTTTTGCTGCCTGAAAATTTCTATTAATTATGGCTTATTTACCTAAGATTTTTAGACAGAAAAAAAATTAAATATATCCTTAACATTTTTCCCAGTAAATACTTCCATCTGCTTATTTCATATACCTTGAGGCAGAGATAACTCTCTTTTCTGACCTGCAAAGGGGTCAAACCAGGATCTGAACCTACCACCTACTTAGATGCAAACCTAAGATCTTAAATGCAAATTGCAGCAAAACTGAAGTACTTCAGCGTCAGAGTTCTTCATGTATTTTCCTTTTAGCTTGCTGAGTTGTACTCAAAACACTTATGTATCTTTATAGTCTGAGTATCTTACTGGCTGCCAATGTAAAAAGATAGTATTCATGGAATTCTATTATAGCACAGTGAATTAAAAGGCAGTTCAGCAGGCGTGTGTATGGAGACCAATATAACATTTCAATAATGGCATCATTATGTACTGTGTCTGTAAAGATATAGCAAACTGTCAACATGAATTCTGAACCTGAGCTGAAAGACTGGTACTTGAATGACACTTCAGTATGCGGATGGAGCTTGAAAAGGCTATTAGTTATTTTATAAACCTGGCATATCTATTATAATATAGTCAGTGTACAGATTAAAACAAAGATATTTGCCTTCTTCTTTGATCTTCTTTACTTTCTTTGTATGGAGATGATATAAAACCTTGGAGGGGGGGGAAAGGAGCAATATATTGAATGGGCAATTGAATTTTGTATATCAGCATTTGAATTTCTCATGCAAGGACGAAAAATTAAAATAATTGTTTTAGCATGACTTCAAAGATGAATTTGATGCTTTGAGTTTTTTAATTCTTAACTCTCCACAGTTCTTTCTCTTCCAAGGTACAAGGTTTGGAAAGAACATTAAAACTGCTATGCTTTCAGTAGTTCAGCATATATTAAGAGCTCAGCTGGCACTATGCTGAAATCCACAGGAGTCGTTCCATGGATTTTTAATTTTATATTGCACCTCAGATTATCTACATTTATTCTCTAGGCTGATAATATACACGGGCAGAGAGCAGGCTGCCAGTACTGTACCCTGGTGTGACCGTCCTGCCACTCCTCAACGCAGCACTAACAAATGCAGCCATCGGAATGGGCTTACCTTCCCGAGGGAGAGTCATAAGGAATATTTGTAGGGAATTCTTAATTAACAACATCTAGATCTAGCTTTTGAAACCTGATTACAGCACAGCAGTAACATGGAAATGTTTATACTTCGGCCTTCAGAGCTAACAGACTAAATTTTCTGAAGCAATTAATGAACAAAAAAGGGCCTCTATTAAATACAGCTTACCTTCTATTTGCTGTTGTGCTCACCTAGAGCAGTGAGGGGACAAACAGCTACAGTGATGGGAGTTACAAGCTCTAGTGGCTTTTTTCTCTTGTGACAAGCAAGGCTTAAAGATTTTCAGTTTAAATCTAAGTGCACTGTCCTATCCATAGCATTGATGATAGCCAAGCAGATTAATATTGAAAGTAATGTACTTTTTGATTGAACAGACTTGAACTTAAATCCCAGGTAAACTTTTTTTCCCTACAGGGTAGACCTGCAACTGACTAGTGACAAGGAAATTCAATGCCTGGTAGTCTTGTGGCAGTTAATTAAATCAAGATTAATTCAAAATTCACAGAAAATTTATTTGGCATACTAGCACAACTCATAGACTTACTATCAGTCTTCAACGTGCCAAAGATCAGTAAGGGGAAACCAAAAATATAGCAAAACACAAGTAAAAAAGAAAACATTTCTTGCTGAATAAAACTCAGAACTTGGATCCTAAGATCTCTTTTTGCAACTCTTTGCAAGACACAATGTCTGAGCTTTGTGCCACCAAAAATAAAAAAAAAAAAAAAAAAAAAAAAAAAAAAAAAAAAAAAAAAAAAAAGAAAAAAGGGGAGAGAGAGAAAGGAGAGAAATGAGAGAAATCAGGGTGATGTCTTTATCTAAAACTGTTCCTGAATATTCTCTGCATAGTTTATCCATCCATAGGTTTTTCCTCTTGCCAAAAACGAACATTTATTATTTAGAAAGAAAAAAATTAAGAGTAGGAGAAACAGCAAGAGTCTTTAGGGGGTTTGAGTGTCAGGCTGGGTGTCATCTTAATAGTTGTAATCCCTTTGTGAACTGGTGGAATTTCATTCTGCTTTCCTTCCTTCTCCCTGCCTCAGGAAAGTATTGTATATCAGGAGAGAATATGGAAAAGGTTGGATCTGCTATTTGGCTGAGTAACTTCAGTGTACACATACAAGACACCAAGAGTCTGGAATTGTTCCCTCCATTTAAACACAATTTTCATCCCTTGCACCCACCTTAGCATAGCAGCAGGTGATGAGCACTAGGGGCAGGAGGTATCCCACTGCCAGGATGGTAACCTTGTACGTCTGCTTGGCTGTTGAACTATTTGCCCAGTGTTCCCAGCAGAAAGAGCTGTTGGGTGCTTGCTGATGACCACTCATGAGAGCCTGGAACTGGGCCACAGGGATGGCAATGAGCAGAGACAGCAGCCAAATGACACCCACGCTGAGGGCAGCGTTGCACTTGCTGCGGATGCAGGGTGAACATTTGGCATGGACCACAATGATGTATCTGTCCACAGACATAGCCACCAGAGTGAAGATGCTGACCAGCATTGTTGTCATGGCCAAGTAGTGAACCCACTTGCAAAAGAAGGCACAGAAGACCCACTCTGGCAGGGAGTACATGGTGGCCTGAAAGGGGACACAGAAGAGCAGAAAGGAGAAGTCTGCAATGCTTAAGTTCAAGATGAAGATGTAGGTGGCACTATGTGATGGGTGTCCTCCAAGCTGAAGATGCCCTAAAACAACCAACACTGATGTGTTCCCACCATTCCCAGGAGAAAAATCAACCCAAAAAGCATTGGTACAATCACCACCTCTGGGCCGCCCCTGGTTGCTCCTGCCCAGCATGTTGGGGCCTCTGCTTGAGTGTTTTCAGAGCTGCACTTGCTGGTGTTGGCTCCAAGGGAAAGCACAAAACTCTCCTCCTGCTCCTTCATGGAGCCAGGCTGCTTGGCAGGCAAGGAGCAGTTGCTGCAGTCCTAACTGCTGTCAGGTAGGTCTGTGTTTGTTAGGGGTGGCCAGACGTGAATTTGTGCCTTTTCCAATGCTCTATGTCTTTTCTTTGGGGAGCAATTTTCTTCACATGATTTTTCCAAGTTCTCTCTGTCTCTGGTGCAGATTATTCCAGGAACTGGCAAAAAAGGGGGTTGAAGAACTTGTATCATCCAAGAAGTAACTTCAAGTTTGGCAATTGTTGCTGGAGAAACTCATGTGGCAAAGTCCGTGCCAGAAAGGCGAGGATGAGGCTGCCCTGGGAGCTCGGATCGGCGGCAAAGAGGCAGCAGCTCGGCTTCCTAACGCCCCTCCTCTTCTGCTTCCCTCCCACACTCACTGGATCTGTGGCTGTTATACCTGCTTTCCCAGCTCGACGCGGAGCCCTGGCAGAGAGAACAAATGCTGTCTGTGACCGGAACCCTTCAGCAAATAACCTAATCAGCATTACTGCTTAAGAGGGGGGAAGAGCAGAGCAAAAGTTCTCATCCAAAGGGATGGATAAGCAGCAACTGCTGAGCAATAGTGTGTACAGTTCTGTGAGGAGCAGCATTGGAACTGGCTGCATGAGGAGTAAAAAGGCTAAAGTATATTTTTTATCAATAGAGAAGGATTTTCTTTCTTTGTTTCATAGTCTCCAATGCACTCCCATTAGAGCACAAAACAATCTGAATAGTTGTGTTTTCAACACAAAATCCTGGGAGAGCTTCAGATTCAGCATTGGGTCCTGTCACTTCCGGGATATCCGCCCAAATTCCTTAGTGCCTATGAATATTCATGAATCTCGTTTATCCAGCTGTGAAGATCTTTTGGTTTCAGCCCAGTAGTGGCAACAGCATCTGCACTGGAAAAGGAAATATTCAGTCTTGGTAGCTCTGAGCAGCTGTAATATTGCCTGCCAGGGAGCAGATATATGGTTTAAAAAAAAAAAGTTTTATTAAAGATTAACGGCTTAGTTATTGTGGGGTTTATGCGTACTTATAGAAACAGTACATATTTTTTAGGGGGTGCTAAGTAGCTTAGCTTTAATGGCTTGTTTCCTCATATTCCTTAAGGGATTCTGTGAACTCTGCAGGCAGTTGTCAGAGACTGAAACGGTTAATGATTTCTGCATTCTAGGAGACTTTTGCAGGCTTTTGCAGGACTTTTGCATTATACCTCTGATGGGCAGCTGGGCCCATTTCCCCATTCAGTGCTGCTGAAGGTGTCAAGCCCTTAAAAGGTGAGAAGAGCCGTGTTTACCATGCCCTCCACATGAACTCTGAGCTGGGCTGTCTGAGATGTTGGAGGTTCATGGCAAGGGGAAAAGCCCTTTTACCAGGCCGAGGAGATGCTGGATGCTCGTGGCATGGGCTGTGACACTATCCGTGGATATAATAACTCTTAACTTCTTGGAGTGTGCAGGTTTCCCTCCTTCACCCCCAAGGGACTGAGGCCACCACTTCAACTAACAGACATGGAAGCTGCAACTACGAAGTTTCATCGCTGGACCCCGTGGGCGGTGACTATATACATTTTTCTAGTCTCATCTTTTCTCTTACTCTCCCTTACCCTTATCCTGTCTTTCTCTTTCTCTCCCTTATGCATTCTCCCCAAAGGTTATCTTTATGCCATGTTGCTGTAGATGATAGGTATAGAGGATAACATCCAAAATGATAACATACCCCTTTACCTTTGAAACAAAGTTGTTCTAAAATAAACGCTACATATATATGTTTCCAAACACTGATTATTCACTGTCGTTTCACTCTAATCCACCCCAAGGAATTTATTAATAAGAACCTGGGTTACCCCTCCCTTTTCTGGGGCGGATCGTAACAGCAGTGAGGAGGGAACAAAGTTTAGACAAACATTAACAGTACTTGCACACATTGATTTGAGGATATAGGACAGCTGCCCGCAGAGAAGAGTACCCATCTCTGTTTTCAGTGGTTACAACCTCAGGCACTTGCTTAGAGTGGGCCACCACTGGCTCCTGTGAATGGGAGACTTAGACTGGAGGAAGCCCCTTAATTTTAGAAACAAGGTTCGGCAACTGCCTTGTGACTTGTTTCAAAGCTCTTATTGGGAGAGGACAGTGCTGCCTTCCTTAGCCCGCTCTGATTATACCCTTGTTTAAAACTGTTCTGAAGCTAGACTCCTTATTCCCCCCATAGCTTTGGGGATAGTTATGGGGTGAGGTGGAAAGCGGCCAGGGAGTGAAAGATTTCTAAGCTGCAGCGGAAAAATTTATTCCCCCTTGTCGTGAGCAGGTCACCGTAGCTGGAGCAGCTACCTGGATACCACCTGCAGCTTCTCTTCTTCTTCTATGGCCTGACTGCCTTGCGTGCTGTGGCAGTGTACCTCAGACACCATTAAGTCTTCCAGTTCCCCAAATCCTTTGTCTGTTTGCCGGTGTCCGCCGGGACTGTGCGTGCTCCTGGGCTGTGCTGCAGTCTGAGTGCCATCTACTGGCATTTCGCCTCCTTCGCTGCCTTCGGGCAGCTCCCGTGGCGGCCCATGGCCTTTCTTTCCCTCAAACATATAGTCAGTCCAGTAATAACTTAATAACTCTACCTGATATTGCTTTCCTCTCAGCCTCATGCAAGCATACGCCCTTAAATTGAAACTTTAATGTTTGCTTTTCCTTTTGTGACAATATGTTACCACAGTAAGGTTACTTCTTATAATACTATTTATATAACTACATGTAACATTTTAGAGAAGGCTATTGCGAGTGATTTCCATGGCTATCTCTATCTTTTAGATGTTTGGGGGTTTTGTATTTTGGTTGGAGTTTTTTTCACTTCTCTTTAGTGGGCAGTCATACCAGAAAGAATTATTTAAGAAGCTCATGTAGCAATCACAGCAAATGAGAGCATCTATTTTTTGTCTTTTAGCGGGTTTGGGCAAAATAATAAAAACTGCACCATGTGTGGTTTCTGCTGCAGGGGATTTGAGCCAATGCACGCAAGAATTTGAGAATTGCTTGTATGTGTCACCTGCAGAACAAACACAGCTTTGCAGATCGGAAAGATCATATGGCACAGTAAGCGGAAAACAGGCAGAGGACGCACAATTCTGGCAGTGAGGAGGGATAGATCATAGGATTGTTTAGATTTGTAAAAAAAGGAAATTAATAAAAATTGCCTAAATTCTTACAAGAAAGGATACTCCAGTTCAGTGAGAGTGTTATAACTGGGAGAGTGGGAGGAAAGGTGAGTATTCTGGATGGGAAGTGGCAGTCACCTGGTGAATGAGACATCCGGTTAACTATGTGTGAGAACTCAGCTTGCTTTCATCAGGGAACTGAGATGCTGCAAATCTGACTTCAAATGGAGGCTGGCTGGTGTGGGAGTATTCCTGGCTGGTCTTACTCAGGGAGAAATAATTTTCAGTGTTAATTTCCATGCTGTGCTGAAAACTTATGTTGAAATGTGTTTACCATGGCATTTAAAATTTCCAGAAAGGTAAAGATTCCTTCTTCTCTTTCCCATTTTGTGCCACTTCTCAAATTCTTCCTGACAAGGAGGAATATCCTGTCCTAAAGAATTCCTGGTCCAAATACAGTCAGAAGGGAACTGACCATGCCAAGACAAAATACTTGCCATAAGACCTATTCATTAGTCCAAGTAGGAGGAGAAGGTCAATTCAGTTTACTAAGTACTCATTTAAACATGAGTGAGAGGATGTAGGAAAAGGAAATTGAATATTCTCTGTGGGAGGGGAAAAAAAGTAGAAGTCTGACAGACATCACCTAGATCAAGACTGAACTGGAAGGCAGATGCTGTTGCCTTTGTCTAAACTCTTTTGGTTAGATAAAAGCATTGGACTCACATGCTGAGTGACTAAACAGGCATCAGAGGTGTTTTGTTGAGAGAGGACAGTACTGGACCACTAGAGATAACTTTGCAATCCCACTGTAAGAAGAGTAGGAGAATGTCAGCCCTAGGAATAAGTGTAGGGGGAAAAAAACTCTAAACATTAGATGGTAGTGTTTAAATGGTAACATTTTCATCTTGTGTAGGTACAAACTAATTTGTCCATTTTCCAATTGCTAACAGGTGCTTCAGCTCCTAATTACACTAAATATCAGGTATGCTGTAAACCACTCTCACTGTTTTGATAGCCATGGTTCAACTTTCTGATACCTGTGCATTAGCTCTCTAAGCCTTTTGACTTTTGAGTGGAAGAAGGGCACTCAAGCACAATAACAAGCAAGAACCTTACTGTCACATCTCTCTCTCTCTCTGGGAATGTGGGTTACATCTCAGATTCAGATCCATTTTAAAAACAAAACAAATAGAGATCCAGCTTGTGGCTTTGGGTTCAGCAGCTGCCTTAGTATACTGTGCTCTTCAAAAGGCTGATTTGGGCTGAAAAGCCCTTTAGGCTGAGTAATGAGCTAGTCAAAAACAAGCAATGAAATATCTGAAATCTCCGCAATTCAACTTATGTATCTCAGTCTGGCCCTAAGTCCTCACATGACTTTTTCATGTCGTCCTTATTGGACAGGTAGCTGGTTATAAATACCCTACAAATGAATTTTACCTTACCTAAAATTTATAATAAAACTAAACCAGCTCCATTTAAACAGCCAAAAGCATTGTATCCACACTGTTTGCTGACTTTTTTCTGCAATTTAATTTTTGATAAGGCAGGTAGAGTTGTTTAACAAAGTCTGTTTTTCATTTATGACCAACAAATTATGATTTTGGCTCTAATAGAAATTATGTTGGGATAAAGCTACAGAAAGAGAGGACTCTTGGGCATGCAGTATTGGCTGATACATATAAAACTAAGACAAGAAGATGCCAAAACCATAATAAACCTCAAAACAGGATGCTTGCTGAGACCTGATTAGTATTCTGTAGAGAATAAGGAACGTGTTATGACTTGTATCATCAGATTCAAGACAGCGTATGTCTTCCTGTGTGCTCCTGTGGTTTTGTGCACAGCTCTTCTG